CTCAAATATGAAATTTAAGCTAAATTCTGTACACAAAGTTACTTTTTTAATCCTGCAATTCAATGCTCTTTTAGTGTATTTGCCTTTCAAAAAAAAGCACAAGTCGAGCGTGTCTTCCGCTTGGCGATGACTATTGAAAAAGCAGTCCGTCTGCTTCCCTTGGATTAAATAGAGTTAGTTACCAGAGCACAGTTCTTTAAAGTCTGTTTGGAAAGCCCCTGGTATGGAAAAATAGATAACAAAATCGAGACTGTTGCTCAAAAATGCACAAAGAGCAGCAACATCACGAAGAACGATTTCCTCAGAATGTTCCAAGTTTAAATCCAACTGAATGACGTCGGCATTAAAAACTGCAGTTGGCAAAGTTGAAATGCAATGCAACAGTCCTATTGCTACGCAAAACTTTGTAAAAATAGAAACTTTGTCCTGTTGTTGATTATTTTTCTTTTTAGATCTAGAATGTTGCCAACATAGTTTAATGAGAATAGCAAGGTTGCATATGTTGATGAGAATAAATGGAAATACACAGAAGAATCCAGCTATGCCAAGCTTTCGAATCAGTTTGTAATCGTCTGCAATTTCTTTGTCATAATAGCAATGTTGGTCGGTCATGTTTCCTGATGTGACGTAATATTGTATTTTTCTTCGATATAAGTCACGAGCAACTGTTCCAAGTAAAGCCAGTGAGAGAACTGCAAAAGCTACGTGAGCCCGTTTCTTTGCACCGTCTAGTTGAAATTTGAAAGGGAAACAAATACTCAGCATCCTCTCAAATGATAAAGTTATAAGCATCCATACTGGCACGATGAAGCCGAAAGGTTCGACAAAAACATAAAACTTGCACACGAAATTGTTGATATCATTCAGATAAAAAGAGTATTGCTGTAATAGTTTATATGGCCCATTAAATACCAAGTTAAATATATTAAGAAACGCTATATATTTGAAATATGTCGCGCACGCGGCTTTACTGCTTCTTTTCCCATAATTCCAAACCAATAAACACAGTATATTTCCGGTTATACCAAGAACAATTATGAAACCAAGCGACAATGATAGTGTCCACAAGACGACCTCATTATGTTCTATGTATTCATTATATTCCATGTTAAACTTGAACACAAAAAAATATTTAAAATCGTAAAACCTCGTAAATTATACCTTTTTAAAAAAAACGTGATTTCCTTTTACCATTGACCTTTAATCAAGATGACCGCTTTGTTGAGTTTTCGTGACAATAAATCATTTTATTTATTTGTTCAATTGTGTTAAACCTTATGATTGAGCGTAATTTATCTATTTCTCCTATTTCAAATACATGATCGCCTTTCCCTTTGAACAAAGAACACGCCTTTTCGTTCTGATTATTAATTGTGATACATATTATCTTGTCTGGTATGTCAAACATATTTTATTTTAATTTGATTTTCATCTGAAGAATGAAAGAAAAAGTTCTTTTTAATCTTTATTAGATGTCAGCTATTATTCTTTAATTATTCTAGCATGGATATATGCTTTCTCTTTGATACCTATTGTCTAGCTACAATGTTTCGTTACAGAAGTTTTCTGTAGCTTACTATGTTCAATGTTTATTTCTTACGCTTTCATCTTTTGTTTTTTTTATACAAATTGCAAATACAATGTTGTTTCCATATTGTTTTTACTTCGTTGCTTTGATTTTCTTACAAAGAATAATTTAAAATTTAAATGTTTTTATCAAACGTTCTTAAACCAGCTGACTTAAATTTACTTTTTAATATGATTTTCTAAATTATCAACCATGCATTTGACAAATTCACATTAAAAAGTTATTATTTGGTTAGAAATGTCATATTGAGTGAAATACAATCGTCACTAAAGAAAGGTCAGCAAAGGGTTTAATTCGTGTTTGTAGTCTATTGACATACACGTCCATTTGTCACTCTAATAGTGAAACTCCTGCCCGCATGCTCTGCTCAATAGGGTGGGCATTTGTAGGCGTCTCGGATTCGACCCTTATCCAGGGGTCGGGGATTCGACCGTCGGGCGAAGTGAAATTTCTCCGCGATCTAATAGTCATTTGTCTCTTACCGCTGAATTAGATGTGGGATACGTTAGTAGTCGGTCAATTAAAGAGAAAATAGTAATTACTGGTTTGTTGTCCACGAAAACTACTTAGGTGGACCAACGTTGATTTTTGACCAAAATCATGTTAAAGTCGACGTTAAAACTTAACACACAAACAGTTAATTACCTTCCTTAGGGCTTCTCTGTGTGTCCATCAACATTTTTCGGAAGGTTAACCGTAATAGATAACTTCTCCGTACAAAACAACACAATATTCGTTTTGAACAAACGATCGTTTCTAGGTCATATTTTTAACTTGTTTTCCTCCGTCAACTGCAGACAACCATCCCATTAATTTGATTTAAAACCCAATATTTTACAATATTATTATGAACTAGGTTTAATTATTTCCTGGAGAATGTCAGAAAATATGAATGTTGTATTTTTTATCTTGGCAGTAATTTCTTGTCTTTCATCTTAGCAAAATGAATACTTAATAATTAGTATCAAATCAAAACACCTAAGGCGATAACAAACTAAAAAAATCAGTTATTGCCTCTTTCTCGAAACCGTAAGGGAATATATTCGTGATAGAAGAAAAAATGCTTTTTAATTTTCAGATTGATATTGATTATTTAGCGAACGCAAAGAGAAAATAATGATAATCGAAGTATTTGCGTTGTAATTGTATACAGTTATTCTCTTAATCTTTTAACAGGATAAAGAAGTGCAATATGGTATGGCTTTCGTGTTCTGTATAGTGACGGGAATTTTAACCGTTCAGAAATAGTAAATTGTGGTCACGTTACAATATGCACATGAAAAGCACCAAACGGCAAAAATAAAAAAAATATGCAGCCCTAGTTTGATTGAGTCTTTTGTAAACATAGGGGCTTCTGTCATTTTTTCTTTTCCCACTATATATATACATATCTAATATAATATTATATGATATATATACTGTAGATTACATAAACTAAGGACAGATTTCCATGTGTTTGTAAACGGTAAAAAGCATACACAAAAGAAATGTATAATATTACGAAAGAGAGGCAATAAAAATATAGAAGTATGACATTTATGATACATGATGAAAAATAACACTGAATATTTGTAATTAACTTTAAGTAAAAGGAATTACTACGTGCATTCAAACGCAAAAACTAACGAACTTCTAGAAATGAAATAGACATTAAAATAAACAATGTCTTACGAGTTTATTTAGTAGGCGAATTATTACAGAGCCCTTAACTCATTCGTTCATAAAACAAGAGGGCCAAGATGGCCCTAGATCGCTCACCTGACCCATCAAACTCATCCGAGCAATTACCTAGACAAGCATCCTGACAGGTGAGTCAAAAATGTGACCACTAGAGCGTTAACAAGGTTTTTTCATATTTGAGCAGTGTGACCCAGTTTTTGACCCCAGGTAACCGATATTCAAACTTGACCTTGAAATCGTAAAAACAAACTTTCAGACCAATTTCACGATAATTGGGTCAAAACAGTAGCCACTAGTGTTAACAGGATTTTTTCTATTTTTAGCTCCCGTGACCTAGTTTTTCATCCGAGATGACCCATGTTCGATCTCTAGAACGCTCACCTGACCCATCAAACTCATCCGAACAATTACCTAGAAAAGCATCCTGAACATGTTCGAATATGAGTCACCTGGGGTCAAAAACTAGGCCACACTGCTCAAATATGGATAATCCTTGTAAACACTCTAGTGGTCACATATTTGACTCACCTGTAATGATATTGGTCAGAATCAGATGCGTCAGGTGAGCGATCTAGGGCGATCTTGTTTAGTTGTTTTTGTCTAAGAAGATCAATCAAAACTGTAAATGTTCAATTAAATCTTCTTTGATGTCTTGTACTAAGAAATTTTGAGCCTACCAATAAAGACAATTTATTACTTAAATAGATAAAGCCAATTATATACAATACATTTGTACGTGGATTAAATTAGCCAAGTTTACAAAGCTGAAGGTTTATTAAAGTTGAATGCAGCAGCATTATTTTAAATGAAATACAGTGTAAAATCATTTTGCCTGAATATGAATTCTTGTGAACTTAGGTCAACATCATCCAAGTGGTTAAGAAGGAAATATTGTTTAAATAAATTGTGATTAACAATAGGAGACAGACAAGATGCCACCATAAAAGATTATCCTGCCAATCAACTATTGTATTTTATTTGTCCAGCTAAAACAATAGAAATTTCAAATGTAGCAGATGAAAGTCTAATTTTGCATGATTGGCCTTGATAGATCACTACAAATAGGGGTGAACATCTTGGTTGGAGACAACTAGCTTAAATATACCGGGATCAAACAAGTGAATCCCCTTGGTGTTTTTTAGGGGGAGGTGAAACGTCTTAAAAATATTTTAAGAAAGTAATTTCTTGTGGTAAAACATCTAAGGTAAAATAAGGATACTCACGAACTTGACAATTGAGTTTTCCCATCTTATCAAGGGGAGAAGTAATTTTCTTTACATAATTTCACCCGTACCTCTATTGTTTCATTTTTATTATACAGAGTATTGCTAACCTTTTTTATCAGCTCTTAACTTGCTTGCTAAGAAAGTGATAAACCTTCGGGTACATTGTATGTCATGTTCTAGACGATCAGTAGCTCAAATTCTGAATTTTATTTTGAAATTACTTAAATATTGAATGGCCTGTTCGAAATTCCATTACATAACTTAAGCAGGCATTTTAAAAGTTACAGCTGAGTTTTTTCCATCAGATTTTTCATGGCAACATTATTCCTAATACTGACAATTTAAGTAACACTAAATTTTTCTGTGTTGATTTTGTATTTGGTTCAAAACTATAAAACGAATTTTGAAGTAAGTAACAAACTAGCAATTAAATCTAGAAAGATGGTGAAACCCAACAAAAAGAATTTCAAAAGCAATGAAAGGGGGTTAAATCATGACAAAACACATTTTATAAATGAATATCACCTTTACTTGGCAAATATATGTTTTTTTTTCCACAGAACTTCCTGTCTGTAATTCACTTCTTAAGCAACATACTTCTAAAATCACTATTACTCATTCCAGAAGTCTTTGGGTTATTTTTAGATTCATTCAGTGTCTCTGAAGAGCTTTCATTTTTTATCAATGTAGATGAAGAGTTTGCAGATTTTGTTTGAGATTGTTTCTTCGTTACTGACCTTGGCATCAACATTACTTGCGTCCTTGCATGGCGGCTAGAAATACAAAATGCATGATTATTACAAGTTGTTTATGGTATTAATTTGATAAGATATATCTTATATAGAGGATATTAAATGAGTGTAGATTCATTACTGAATTTATTGAACAGTTGAATAAATTTAATATTGAACATATACAAATATAATATTCTATTTATCACATATCTAAAATAAGAACAGTTTTCAGTTAAACAGTCATTTTATCTTTGACGTGCATATATTGTAACACTAGCATTACCGCCCTTTAACGCTATTTGTATATAACACAAACAAGAAACATGGCAATGCCATGAAACCAGGTTTTCAATTACCACCATTGTAGATAAATATGTTGTATTTGAAATACAAATACAAGCAACAAACAATGTAACTATGTGCAATGTAAAACATGAATAATGTAGGAGGAATTGCCACAGAGGAAGTGTTCACTATAATTATATTCTGTATAAGGAAAAAAAACAAAGGGCCATAATTAAATAAAAAATTATTCAATCACAAAACCCCGACAATATGCGCCAGGGCACTGGATAAAAAAGCTACTGTGAAAGTTTGAACAAAATCCGTTGAGAAATGTAGGAGTTCAGCACAGAAGAATTTTTTCACTATATATTCTGTATAAGGAAAAATAACAAAGGGCCATAATTAAGTCAAATATTATCCAATCACAAAACCCCGATAATGTGCGCCAGGGCACTTGATGACAAAGCCTCTGTGAAAGTTTGGTCAAAATCTGTTGAGAAATGTAGGAGAAGTTGCGCATGGTAAAAATTGTTCACTATATAATCTGTATACTGTAGAAAAAAAAACAAAGGGCCATAATTAGGTCAAATATTATACAATCACAAAACCCTGACAATATGCCCTAAGGCACTTGATGACAAAGCCTCTGTGAAAGTTTGGTCAAATTCCGTTGAGAAATGTAGGAGGAGTTGCGCACAGAAAATCGTTCACTATATATCCTATATTGGGAAAAAAAACAAAGGGCCATAATTAGGTCAAATATTATCCAATCACAAAACCCCGACAATATGCGCCAGGGCACTTAATGACAAAGCCTCTGTGAAAGTTTGGTCAAAATCCATTGAGAAATGTAGGAACAGTTGGGCACAGAAGAAGTTATTCACTATATATTCTATATAAGGAAAAAAACAAAGGGCCATAATTAGGTCAAATATTATCCAATCACAAAACCCCGACAATATGCGCCAGGGCACTTGATGACAAAGCCTCTGTGAAAGTTTGGTCAAAATTCATTGAGAAATGTAGGAACAGTTTGGCACAGAAGAAGTTATTAACTATATATTCTATATAAGGAAAAAAAACAAAGGGCCATAATTAGGTCAAATACTATCCAATCACAAAACCCCTACAATATGCGCCAGGTCACTTGATGACAAAGCCTCTGTGAAAGTTTGGTCAAAATCCATTGAGAAATGTAGGAACAGTTGGGCACAGAAGAAGTTATTCACTATATATTCTATATAAGGAAAAAAAAACAAAGGGCCATAATTAGGTCAAATATTATCCAATCACAAAACCCCGACAATATGCGCCAGGTCACTTGATGACAAAGCTTCTGTGAAAGTTTGGTCAAAATCCGTTGAAAAATGTAGGAGGAGTTGCGCACAGAAGAAATTGTTTACGCCCGCCCGCCCGCCCATCCGCCCGCCGACATACCTCAATCTAATAATAACCAGTTTTTTCCTTCGGAAAACCTGGTTAATAACATCATGTCAAAGTGTTATTACACTTGTGTTATATTGTTTCTATTATATAGAGGATATTCTTTTTATTAAATATTTTCATATATAAAGACCTTATGAAGTGAAATAGAACAATTTTTCATTGGCCCGCCTGTACAATAACGCTAACATTTAGCGCGTCTTAACACTGTTTGTATAACGCCAAATGATGTCACGTCAAAATATATGCATAGTTGTGCAATACCTGTCTTACGGAACGGAATCAGCATGGGTGTGAGATTAATTGGTTTATTTCACGTCTGCGCCATGGTTTATGTGATAAATAAGATTTATTCCATGACTGATGACAAAAGATTTAATACTTTTACAGAAATAAAAACTACAGATAATGCTGTCATATATATCTAAAAAACTTGTTTGTTTTCTAGTTATTTATTCTAAGTTCTAACTAAGATTAAAGACCCTATGAAGCTCATAAACAATTAAATGGTGGCCCCACTAGCAGTACACACAACAGTTTTGTAAACCTATATCGCTATGCCTCTCATACCGTATATCATGGTATATTTGTATATCATGTTATTTTCGCATATGGTTAAATAAAAGTAAACAAATATACCTGTTTGCTCACTGTGTCACTTAAGATTGTATTTATTATATGCTAAACAACCATAAATATCGAAAACTGATGTTTGATACAATGAAATCGAGGCATCACAATATAAAATATATATGACAAAACTAAAGCTAAAATCTAAAAACTTGGTGTCAAATCGAAAGTAAAAATCAAAAGTTCCATAAACTCGTGAAATTCCCATAACAAATTGAAGGAAAATTTTACGAATCAGTTTTTCAAGATATTCACTGTAAGCGAATATAGCAACAAGAGCCACCGCTGGGCGGGGGCAATGCTCGACTTTTTACTTTTTCTAAACGCAAACATATAAAGGTTTGAACATATCTTAACGTTTCCTTTTTATAAATTTAGTTGGTCTGTCTTGTCACATTAGTTTTGTTTATATATTTTGTATATATATATATGAATAAAAACATTACGCAATTTCTAAAAATAGCAACATTACGCAATTTCTAAAAATAGCAACAATGACGCAATTTCTAAAAATAGCAACAATGACGCAATTTCTAAAAATAGCAACAATGACGCAATTTCTAAAAATAGAAACAATGACGCAATTTCTAAAAATAGAAACTATGACGCAATTTCTAAAAATAGAAACAATGACGCAATTTCTAAAAATAGCAACAATGACGCAATTTCTAAAAATAGCACCAATGACGCAATTTCTAAAAATAGAAACAATGACGCAATTTCTAAAAATAGCAACAATGACGCAATTTCTAAAAATAGCAACAATGACGCAATTTCTAAAAATAGCAACAATGACGCAATTTCTAAAAATAGCAACAATGACGCAATTTCTAAAAATAGAAACAATGACGCAATTTCTAAAAATAGAAACAATGACGCAATTTCTAAAAATAGAAACAATGACGCAATTTCTAAAAATAGCAACAATGACGCAATTTCTAAAAATAGCACCAATGACGCAAATTCTAAAAATAGAAACAATGACGCAATTTCTAAAAATAGCAACAATGACGCAATTTCTAAAAATAGAAACACCAATGACGCAATTTCTTAAAATAGAAACAATGACGCAATTTCTAAAAATAGCAACAATGACGCAATTTCTAAAAATAGCAACAATGACGCAATTTCTAAAAATAGCAACAATGACGCAATTTCTATAAATAGCAACAATGACGCAATTTCTAAAAATAGCAACAATGACGCAATTTCTAAAAATAGCAACAATGACGCAATTTCTAAAAATAGCAACAATGACGCAATTTCTAAAAATAGAAACAATGACGCAATTCTATAAATAGAAACAATGACGCAATTCTTGTTGTTGTTGTTGTTGTAAATATATATATATATACACACACACACACCAATAAATATATAATTATGGTCATTTAATGCACAAATCTGAGAAAATTCAGTAATTTAACCTTCAAGGTCAAGGTCATTAAAGAGCACAAGCAAATTTGGGTTTGATGAACAACGAGGTCTGGTCCTTAAGAATGTTCTGTTATAATATGAAGTTGATCCCTTCAATAATAGCAAAGTTACAGTCAGTTACCGCCAAAACAATGAAAATTTCAATAATTTGACCTTCAAAGACAATGTCATTAATGAGTGAAGGTCAAGGTCTTTCGGTATATTTTTAACAGTTATCTTTGAAGATTATTATGTTCAAGTTTCAAGACAATCCATTCAAAATCAAGAGCCATGTCAACATGGCCATCCCCCGCCGAATGTGTTTGCTCATTGGAAGAATGTATATGTAGTAGAGCGGAATAATTCCATTTTAAGAGGTCTTTTGGTAATGAAAACTGATGGCTATAGTAATTACAGATTTGAAACCTATGTGAATACTGATGGCTGAAAATAACAAAGGGCAATTACTGAAAAATAATGCAGGGTAGGTTATCATTCTTGTGTGCTGCATCCCTCCTCAGTAAAATCTATCCACCTATGAAGTTTCAAGTTGATACCTCAAATACTTTTTGAGAAAAAAATTGAATTGAAAAATTAAGTATGAAAAAGAACAAAGGGCAATAACTCAAAAATTATAAAAGGTAGAGTTATCATTCTTGTGCAGTGCACACCTCCTGAGTGAGATCTATGCACCTATGATGTTTCATTTTGATATCTCAAAGGCTTTTTGAGTTATGCTCTGGACAAAAATAAATTTTGAAAAATAACAAAGGGCAATAACTCAAAAATAATGCAGGGTAGAGTTATCATTCTTAAGCTCTGCACTCCTCCTCAATGAGATCCATCCACCTTTGAAGTTTCAAGTTGATACCTCAAATACTTTTTGAGATAAGCTCTGGACAAAATAGCATGAAAAAAAGAAAAGGGCAATAACTCAAAAATTGTATAGGGAAGAGTTATCATTCTTGCGCACAACATTCCTCCTCAATAAGATCTATCCACCTATGACATTTCATGTTGATATCTCAAACACTTTTTGAGTTATGCTCCACTCAGGTGAAAAATTAGGTATGAAAAATAACAAAGGGCATTAACTCAAAAATTATGAAAGGTAGAGTTATCATTCTTGTGCACTGCACACCTCCTGAGTAAGATCTATGCACCTATGAAGTTTCATGTTAATATCTCATAGGCTTTTGGAGTTATGCTCTGGACAAAAATCAATTTTGAAAAATAACAAAGGGCAATAACTCAAAAATCATGCAAGGTAGAGTTATCATTCTTGTGCACTGCACTCCTCCTCAATGAGGTCTATCCACCTATGAAGTTTCAAGTTGATAACTCAAATACTTTTAGAGATATGCTCCGGACAAAAATGTCGGACGGAAGGACGGACGGACGGAAGGAAGGACGGAAGGTCGGACGGACGGAGACTATTTCTATATCATCCGCCGAAATTTTTCGGCGGGGGATAATAACAAAGTTACAGCCAATAATAGCCAAAAAAATGAAAATTTCAATAATTTGACCTTCAAAGTCAAGGTCATTTATGAGTGAAGGTCAAGGTCTGTCGAGTTATTTTTAAGGGATATCCCTGAAGATAATTATGTTCAAGTTTGAAGACAATCCATTCAAAAATAACAAAGTTACAGCCAATAATAGCCAAAAAAATAAAAATTTCAATAATTTGACCTTCAAAGTCAAGGTCATTTATGAGTGAAGGTCAAGGTCTGGCGGGTTATTTTTAAGGGATATCCTTGAAGATTATTATGTTCAAGTTTGAAGACAATCCATTCAAAAATAACAAAGTTACAGCCAATAACAGCATGAACAAGCAAAAATTGGACTTTTAACCTTGAAGGTCAAGGTCATTTATGGATGAAGGTCAAGGTTAGTGTGGTCTACTGAAAGGTCTTGTCCCAAGGGTTGTTGTGGCCAAGTATGAAGACAATACACCAAGAAATAAAAAAGTTATGATCCAGGTACAAGTTTGCGGACGGGAACAGCAACGGCAACGCCGACCTGACTATAACAATACCTCTACTTTTTTTTTCAAAAAAAAAAAAGTCGAGCTAAAAACTACATACTCACGAAAAAATCTGATATACAGTAATTGAAAGATGTGGTCATGTAACAGACATGAAACATTCTAAACATATGTGAGCTATAGATGACAAAGACACCGTGATCATCCCTTTTCTTGTTTTTTGGATACAAAAAAGTGACAGTCTTTATTTACCTCTGGCTCTCTTTCTTTCCCCCACCAAGGGAGGGAATAAAAGAAGACTCCTCCCTCTGTGTGAATGGAGCTCTTCTCACTGGAGGGTTGCTAATAGCAACAGAGATCTCATGTTCTCCTATTTTGATTCCATCAGTCTTCATCACAGCTGCAGCTGCATTTTGCTTTTTTGGAGGAAAAAAACAACAACAAGATCAGATTCCGCATGTAATCATTCTGAAAATTATTCACTTTGCAAATTCTTTATTCACATTTGTATTTTATGTATCTAGATTTAAGTTAAGATCTGATTCGTGGATTACAGTAAGAATTTCACCACAACATATTTGAACATATTTGACAGAACATATTTGAAAGAACACATGTCAATGTTTGTGGTTAAATGTATTGTTGTTCAAATAAAAGGTCAGAGTTGAGATCTTTCAATTGGCAGAATAATGTACAATTTTAATGGCAGTCAATTTAAGAACTAAAAATTATAGGAAATCACCTCTCCTTACCTCATCTACAAACTCAACATATGCAAGTCCTTTGGGTGCTCCACTTCTATAAGTTACAAGACGGACATTTTTCACTTCTCCATGCTTTAAAATTAAAATATAAATGCATTTTTTAACTATTCTTACCTTTAAAAATTGAAGATGCTGCTACATTGAAAAACGCACAAAATATGTATATAAAATAATATTGTGACATTGTGCCCATCAAGTTTAAATGGTTTGTTTAAAGGTTAAAGTAAAAAATTATTTTACATTTTGATATAAAGTAAGGCAGTCTTTCTATTTTAAATAATTTGTTCATTTTATCCTATACATTTGTAAACGTAATTATCAAATCACCAATATAATAGACAATCTTTTTGAAATTTATTACAAATTCAGCTCAGAGGCAAATATATGTGTTTTGTAAGACTCCTTGGCTTACTGATATATACTTTATCTATAAATATATTTTTTGTTGGTTTTACATTGCATAAACATAGTATATGTCATATGGCGACTTTCCAGATTTACTGGTGGAGGAAGACCTTTGGTACCCTTCTGGCATGAAGAGGCACTGGAGTAAAACCACTGATGTAAACTAGCAGGACATCATTGATATTAGATGTTAAAATTGATCAAATATTAATACAGTCCTAAAAGGACAAAGTTAGATATATATCATCATAATAATATCAGTGTAGGATGAAAATATAGACCTGTGAAAAGAGTGTCATCAATGCCTCCTCTGTACATGCGAATGGTAGATTTTTGATAAATAACTTGTTTTTCTCCAGTTCTGTAGCATACTATAGAGGAAAAGAAACAGAGTTTAACTAGAACTGCCACTATCATGGCGTGAATACCCCCGCATACCACTTTGTCAGAATCAACGGTGGCCATTTAGAGCTCAAGGACAACCTCCCTGCCAAATCTGAGGTTACTAAGCCAGTGCATTGCTAAGTTATGTATTCTACATGCTTCAAATGTGAAAATGTCAAAATCAATACATTGCGGACAGGACATTCTTTAACAGTTGAGAAGAAAAGCTTTTTTTTGTCAAGGTCCCTGTGACCTTGACCTTTGACCCAGTGACCTCAAAATCAATATGGGTCACCTTATAGTCATGATCAACATCCATGCCAAATATGAAGACTGTGGGTCAAAGGAATCTTAAGTTAATGGGTGGACAAACTTTTTGAAGTCAAAGTCCCTATGACCTTGACCTTTGACCCAGTGACCTCAAAATCAAAAGGGGTCATCTACTAATCATGATCAACATCAATGCCAAATATGAAGACTGTGGGTCAAAGGAATCTAAAGTTATTGGGCAGACAAACTTTTTGAAGTCAAAGTCCCTGTGACTTTGACCTTTGACCTCAAAATCAATAGGGGTCATCTACTAATCATGACTAACCTCCATTCCAAATATGAAGACTGTGGGTCAAAGGAATCTTAAGTTATTGGCGGACAAGCTTTTTGGAGTCAAGGCCCCTGTGACCTTGACCTTTGACCTGGTGACCTCAAAATCAATAGGGGTCATCTACTAATCATGACAAACCTCCATGCCAAATATCAAGACTATGGGTCAAAGGAATCTTAAGGTATAGGGCGGACAAGCTTTTTGAAGTCAAGGCCCCTGTGACCTTGACCTTTGACCTGGTGACCTCAAAATCAATAGGGGTCATCTACTGATCATGACTAACCTCCATGCCAAATATGAAGACTGTGGGTCAAAGGAATCTTAAGTTATTGGGCGGACAAGCGTTTTGAAGTCAAGGCCCCTTTGACCTTGACCTTTGACCTGGTGACCTCAAAATCAATAGGGGTCATCTACTAATCATGACTAACCTCCATTCCAAATATGACGACTGTAGGTCAAAGGAATCTTAAGTTATAGGGCGGACAAGCTTTTTGAAGTCAAGGCCCCTGTGACCTTGACCTTTGACCTAGTGACCTCAAAATCAATAGGGGTCATCTACTAATCATGACTAACCTCCATGCCAAATATGACGACTGTAGGTCAAAGGAATCTTAAGTTATTGGGCGGACAAGCTTTTTGAAGTCAAGGCCCCTGTGACCTTGACCTTTGACCTAGTGACCTCAAAATCAATAGGGGTCATCTACTAATCATGACTAACCTCCATGCCAAATATGAAGACTAAGGGTCAAAGGAATCTTAAGTTATTGGGCGGACAAGAAAAAACCGACGGACAGCCGGACGGACGGCCGGACGGACGGACGGACAAGCTGATTCCAGTATACCCCCCTTACAACTTTGTTGTGCGGGGGTATAATAATTATAGAAAGCTTATGATTATTCTTTTAATGTTTTTTTGAAATTCGTTTTTAAGCAGCCTTCATCTTGTATGTTAATTTTAGATAAATTGTTTCATATATCTGTCAAATCAGAAGAATTAAGGTGAAAAATGAATTATACAGACAAAAAAAGCATAAAAAATAAGGAAACCCCTTGATACCTCTAATCTACCAGTTAGCTCTCTATATTTAAATTAGTAAAGCAGACAATTTGTTCCCCCGATCTTCTATCATTAGAAACGAATGTCACTGACATGTTATAAATAGCTCTGGGGATGCTGTTTTGAAGAAGGCTATACAGTGATACATAATTTTTCAAGATAAGTCTTGAAATACTTAGTTAGAAACAACGCAAATATTGGTTTTTTTTTTTTGTTGTTTTTTTCGCTGAAGGCGGAATTAAGTCACATAGATACTGTAAAGGTCATGTATTAATATATCATTACTTCGAGCAGTCAAGTTAAAAAATCTTTTTTTCCTACAACCATGACAACCAATGATTAAGGGCAAGAATGACAAACTAAAACCCATTATTATATTTTTAAGAAATTTAGATATATATACATGTATATAATTATGATAAAGACCATGTGTTAACCCATCAAATCAATAGAACCTGTATTCTTTATCTAAATACTTTAAATGTTGAAAGAATAAGAATTTAATTATTTAGTGAAGAGAAAATAAGTAAATCTAAAGTAAACAAAGTTGTAATGAACAGCACATCACTGATAAATAAAAAGTTATTTCAAACAAAATATTTTGAAATCATACATTAACAAGAGCTGTCCGTAAGACAGCGCGCTCGACTTTTTTATTGCTTGCCAATAAAAAAAGTTTTTGCAGTAAAAGGCAATACAAGAATCTCTGTATTTTTAAAGTGAACAATGGCCATGAGCATTAAGATATTTAGTGAAGAATTATTTTACTGAATTGTGTGATACCCTTGAACACTGCTTGCCTATAATACAAAACATTGACAGTTAAGGGCCATAATTCAAATAAAATCTTTGACAGAATTACCTTCTCCTGGACATGTTTTGGGAATCATGATTGTAAACAAGTATTCCAACTTTCAAATTAATATCTCAAACAGTTCAGTCAAAAAGTGGACTGGTACTAAAAACTTAACCAAGATTCTAAGTCGATAAAAGGCCTTAATTTTTAAAACAAATCCTTGACAGAGTTACCTTCTCTTGCGTACAGATGGGGTAATGATGTGAAATAGCATTAAAAGTTTCAAAGCAATATCTCAAAGGGTTAAGGCAATAAGTGGATTTTACCCATATTCAATGTATTTTCTAAGTCAAAAAGGGGCATAATTCTGTCAAAAACCTTGACAGAGTTATGTCCTCTTGTCTGTTGATGAAGGTCGTGATGGTAAACAAGTATGGTCAGTTTCAAAGCAATGCCTCCAATGGTTTTGAAATAAAGTGAGGTGGTACAAAAAACTTAACCAAGCTCAATACACTTTCTAAGTCAAAAAAGGGCCATAATTCTGTCAAAAACCTTGACAGAGTTATGTACTCTTGTCTGTAGATGGAGGTTATGATGGTGAACAAGTATGGTAAGTTTCAAAGCCATACTTGATATACTTCTGAAATAAAGTGGGGTGGTACGAAAAACTTAACCAAGGTGTGACGCCAACGCCGACGCCGACGCCGGGGCGAGTAGGATAGCTCCCCTTTCCATAGAAAAGTCGAGCTAAAAACTATCTAAAATCCTGTGAGACTTTACCTTAAATTCTTGCTTTGTTGGTTCACCTTTGGCCTTGAACTTTGACACATACATAGGTCGACCTTCCATTGGTGTCCTGTCATATGTTAAAGCATTACTAACTGCCAGCTGGTCAGAAAATTCTATATATGCAAAACCCTTTGATCTGCCCTTAAAGTTTTTTATTAATCTAATTTCTTCTATTGCTCCACACTGTAAATCAGAAATATATAACTGATTTTATCAACGAGTACACAACACAAACAAGACCTGTTTGTCAACAGCCCGCGTCTGGATAGTAAAATAAAAGCAACATAGAAAATGGGGCATGACTAAGCAAACCTGCTTATCAGATTTACCTGTAAAAATATTTTAGGATTAACTTCCTTTATGAAATGGCATCCTTTTATGACAATAAACATGTACACCAAGTTTGAAGTTTAAAGCAGATAGCTTTTATAGTTTCTGAGAAAATGGACCTGAATGAAAAGGTTTACAAACTCTGAAAGCAACGCTGATGATAGTGCCATGACAATAGCTCATTTTCTTTTCTTCAAAAAGTGGAGCTAAAAAAGTTTTTATCATTGACATTTAAAAAACAATTACACTAGAGAAAGGGATCATGAGTTTGAGCCCTTATAGAGCCACAGCCATGTGTCCACATATGACACTATAGGAGGTTGGTTAATATCTTGATGGTACATCCACCAAACAGGCTTCCCTAAACAACTAAGAAGTAATTAAAGTCCAATTTCTCTGTAAGCCATCATTTCTGATAGCATTTACGAAACTTGTCAGGGGAGTACATTTAATTAGCTTGCTAGACAGTTAATAATAAAGCCTCACTGACTCACATCTTACTGCTCCCTTTATACAAAGTATCAATAAACATAACAACTTATGATATATCCTAGATGTATCACCTTATCAAAGAACTTCTTGATTTGGTCCTCGTCCACATCGAAGGATAAATTACTTAGGAATATAGTCCTGTTATCTTTACTGTTATCTACAGGAGAAATATCACTGCTCTCTAATTCTGTAAAAAGTAAGAAAAAATTAGTAATTTTAATTGATGTAAAAAAAAAGAAATAAAATTGTTTTTGTTTCTATTGGCTGGCTTTTAAGCAAATGTTAACACATTTCTGGCCATTTATATCCGCAGTCAGTCAACCTACATAATATTTGTAACTGAATTTTCTGGATAATTAACCAGTATATACAATTTCTCCGTAACTCATAAACTACTACAATCAATCCGTTATGACAGACAAATATAAGCATAAGACCCAATTTCCTAGATTAATTGTAATGGAAAAACTTCACCTCTGCTAAGGATTATACCAGTGACCCCTGAATTACAAATCAAATGCTCTCCCTGTTGAGATAAAATGTCTGAGAAAAAAAAATTGCACCATAATGGGCTGAAATAAGAAAAATATCAACCACGACACTAGAAATGACATGTTAGATTCATACAAAACAAACATGATTGAATACACAAGTCAATATATAGATACTTCTTATAACTGGTAGCCTTAAGCTTCTTAAATGATTTATAAAAACCAAAAAAGAAAAAATTTAATATCTTTCTTGCATTTTAAAATTACCTGTTTTTATTCTCTTAGCAGGAGAAGTATCGTCTTCTTCATTTGGTCGCTTAGATCCTTGGGGCGGAGTCGACTGATCTTTAAACCCTGGGGGAGGGGCAGATTTTTCTTCTTTAAATCCTGGGGGAGGGGCAGATTTTTCTTCTTTAAACCCTGGGGGTGGGGCTGATTTTTCTCCTTTAAACCCTGGGGGTGGGGCTGATTTTTCTCCTTTAAACCCTGGAGGAGGGGCTGAAGACTTGGTAACTTTTGCAGACATTGGCTCAGGAATTTTAAAGCCATCTTCTGATGTATCCATAGCCTCCTCTTTAACCAATTGATTCTGTACAAAAAATACAACATATTTTCAAATAAATTATTTGCTACCCTTAACATCTTGATACAATAGAACAGAATTCATATTTATAAATCTTCACTTTACTCACTTAATTTTGAGTAAAGTTCATATACATTTTACCATGTATTTTCCTTAAAAGCTGAACGGTGGTTACAATTTTGAAACCAGAAGTCAGATGACAGTATTTTCCTTGTGATGATAGATTTACTGTCACCCACAAACGTATGTGTTAATTATACAATTATTCTTACAGCAAAAGCCTTCAGACAATGTTTCGAAGTGTTTCATGAGAAAATATTTTTTACATCAAAGTATATACATTAATACATACATTAATTTTCAAAGTGTCTATAGCAAATCCATTCCAATAATAAGCCACTTTGTACCAGCCTATCACCAGTATAGTCAAACCAGTCTACATACATTTTTTATTTAGGCAGTGAGACCAGATTTAGACTTCTTTATGCTCAATTTTAAAAATTTCATATTGATGTCCCTTAATTGTTAACTGATAGTTCCAAATTCAAAGCAGGTCGAGTCCATTACACAAATTTTGTTTGTTAAGTATTATCAAATGTTTTACCTTTCTTTTGTAAGGTTTTATATCACTTATTTGTTGTTGTTGCTGCTGTTGTTGTTGTTGTTTAGGATAAGATTGTTGTTTCTGCTGAAACTTTCCAGGTTTCTGTTTGCCTTTAAACTTTTGCTGACCTTTCTTGTCAAATTTCTTCTTTTGTTCGTGTTGACTTGATTCAGCTTGCTGGGTCTAACATAGACAAGATATAAGTTAAACTATATGGTAGGTCTGATAAGTAAAAACAAAAACAAAATATTTGGCTGTTTTTTTTGCTTTGCCAAATTGTAATATATTGCTATATATGACTGAGCTTTGCTATAAATTGCATTATGATACTGTAGGTTTGTAACATTAATTTTCAATGGATAATCCTGACCTTTATACAATGTTTTATGTATATAAACAACTGCTGTAAATGTTGACACTTGAAAAGATTTCAGTACATAAAATCACTCTTTACATTACCTCATCAATCTAAATCAACATACTTGTGTTTATTTGATATGAAATAATGAACGTCCCACTCTAAATAACTTCTAACCATGTAAATGAATTAGACAATCGTAGTGAAATTGCCCTAAATTTTCTGTCAAACAATAAAATAGTCTTACCTTTTCTCTTCTTTCATTAATTCTCTCCATTTGTGCCTCACATTTACTAATAGCCTGTTCATACTGCTCCAAGTTTCCTGTACATAAACACAGTACATACATCTTTATTAAATCCTTAAATTTACATACCAAAATACATGAGATGTACTTAAAGTATGCACAACCAAGTATGGTAAAAAGAGTTTTTGCTTTGAAGCAGCTACCATCTGGAATAGTTTACCTAATGATCTGATTCTCAGATGTACATCTGACTTCAATGAATTCAAACATGAAGTAACGAACTGTGCCTGCTCTTTAAGTATCTTATCTTTCTAGTATATGTTCTGTTTCATTTAATTCATGTTTTACATGTAAATTAATTTTAGTTACCTTTTCCTTTGAATTATGTACTTTGTATATATGTAAATCCCTGAATTGACTATACATTTCAAAGGAATGACTTTTAAAATGGTGATTGATCAACAGTTGATACTGGAAATGATTAAGATAAAATACAAAATCTACCTAAAGTATAAAAAAATTGCCTCACTCTTTTTACAATTCAAACGTAATGGATATTATTTTAGAAATTTCCGTGGGCTATTTGAGTTATTTATCGTTCATGCAAAGTAAATTATAGGATTGAACGGAATTACAGAAGAACTTCGGTAAGTCGTGACGCGGCTCAAATAAGTGTTACATATTTTTCACTTACCTTCTAATCTCTCAAAGTTTATATAAGCATCCACTATTGATTCAGGCCAATCTGTGACAGAGTTAAGTGCCCTTTGTAATACTTTTCGACAGTGTTTGTTGTCCCCATATGTCCTATTGTTTACAAAATATGTGCTTACTATAATACCTAAAAGTACTGTTTTAAAGGTGCACAAAGTTGCATTCTATCACCATTAACTTGTGTAGTATCAAGTTTACAATGTTGGCTTATAAAACAATACTTTATCTTATTCTATAAATATCAACTGTATTTTGTTCTTTTGGATAAAAGTTGGTTCTTGTGTGATAATGCAACTACTATCTTTAGAATGTTTAATTAAAAAAAAATCACAAAGTTGAATCAGCAAAGTAAAAAAATGATGTAGAATAAAATACATGCTAAAATATTACATTTTAATTCAGGAGAAATACATTTTAATTCAGGAGCAATAAAGTAAACAAGTTGATTAATGAACATTTTACAATAGTTACACCTTACCTTTCAAATCTGAAGTATTCCATCCACAGAGCTGCCTCGTTTGCTCGCCCTGTAGCCATTATCTCTGCCCATAACTCTCGCCCCTTCTCAAGGTTTTTACAAAACTTAGCCTAAATAAAATTTTGCATATCATCAATGCAATGTATCAGTGTATATAAATTTATTTTACATAATCTGATACAATTTCTAAATAAACTCTTTTCAAAACAATGGTGAATAAATTATCTTTCTAAGAGAGATCCAAAGCTTGTTTGAGTTTAAGCTAAATCCCCCTGAATTTGTAAAATGGACCTTTCAAACTCTGGAACTGGAACAGTGCTATACGAATTTCATAAATTTCAATCTTAAAAATGAAATATTACAATAACATAGCATACAGTACAGAGTCTGTTTAGACTGCATGCATGTGTAGGCTACTGTGGCTCTATGCTGGTTAGATAGGCAATTAGTCATTATCAATATTGTTGCGAAAACATTACATGCTAATGAAGCTATAAGGATGCAAAGATGAGCCCTACAGAACAATGATTTGTAGAACCTCCTTATTATGAACTAAATCTGTTTCTTTCAATAATGATAATGTAAAGAATAGAGGTAGCCTGGCCTCAGGTGACAACTCTCTAATTTTTCATGTTGCAGTTCTGTTTATGTCATGTCGCACCAACATGTAAAGGCCATTTGGCGACTTCAAGCTTTACTGATGGAGGAAGACCTTGGTGCTCTTCTGAGCATTATTTCAAGCAGGAATGGAGACCTGAGTAGAGCCGCCAACACTGTAAAGGACATACAATAACTTAATGGTGCTACAAACCTATCATAATTAATTGCTTACACCACCCAATTTAGTCAAAGTCAGTGTTCAAAACAAGCTGTCTTCTAAAATTCTCAACACATGTATATAAACAGGTATTCTTAGGAATGTTTCTTTAATTTCTTGTCTCAAACTTACTTCAATAATGGCCCAGAACTGTCGTAAAGTACCATTTGGATCTCCTTCTGACCCATAATCTAGAAAATATTAAAACAAAAATTCGCAATTAAACCAAAAAAGATAAGATCTATATGTGAGAGTTATTTGATAACAATTATCCTATGAAAGTTTGGTTGTAAACCCATTGAACAAAAAAAAAGGAGTTAAACAGTGACCTCATATTATGCTCTCGACCAAGTGTGTGAAATTTCAACCAATTCCCTTCAGTAGTTTTGGATATACGAACTTACATGCACAATTTATCTAAAGTGTGATAGTGATGGCTTCACTGATGCAGGAGCCAGGCTGCGTACAATAGATTTCCCTATTCTTAATAATTATAGTCAAGCTAAATATAAAAGAAACAAGAGCTGTCAGTAGGATAGTGTCATCAACTATTCTCAGTGCCTGATAATAAAACAAGAACCTGGATAATGAAGAATTATCTTTGTTCAAAAAGGGCCATAATTCTGTCAATTTAAGTGTTACAGTTATGACCCTTGCCTATCATGCCCCAAAAACAAGTGTGTGAAGTTTCAACCCAACCCTTTTCCATCAGTACTTTTTGAAACACTAATTTGAAAGCAAAAACTTAACCAAAGTGTGATGCCGATGCCTGTGTGCGTACAATAACTCTCCCTATTCTACCATTAGTCAAGCTAAAAATACGTACAATCACACTGTTCAACAGCTTTTTCCATTGATAGTCTGAACGTTTCCAATTCTTCTCCATGCTCTGAAACAATAAATCAACCATGTTTAATTTAAATCACTATTCACAAGTGTCAATAATTCTACAGGTAAGTGTCCATAATAATGTTCAAATTCAGAACAAATTAATTAATTAGCATAAATTCTATATCAAAGTCAGCAACAATTCATACAGGTATATAGTAAAGTAATCTTACATTTCAATCAAAGCAAGACAAAATCTAAATGGTATTTGAATAACCCAGTATAATATATATTAAGGCAACACTAAATTCATGTACTTCTCAAGGTGAGAACTGATTTTAAGTACTTGAAGCTCATGAGAACAGTAAGTCTACAATACCTTCATCCCATTTTATTCTCCTCCTTAAATAGTCTACAAATGTTGTCCATAAAGCTAACACTTCACTGCCTTGTGAAAATCCTGATATTATAGCCGCCTCAAATACACCTGAAAGTTATACACAACTTTTTACATCTATTTCTCTTCAGATAAAGAAAAAATTTCATCTAAATGATAAATGGACTCCTAATTTTATAAGTCACACAATAACTCTGTTTAGGTCATGATAAGTTTTATTAAGGGGAAATAAAACTGGGGACCTTCAAGGCATTAATCAGGCACATCTTAGCCAAACAACGTGCAGTGTTTAAGCTTGTTTGATACCCTTGTTACATGAGAAAAATTTACAAATATCATATAGAAGAATGATATGACTAGATTTACAAACTGATTAATTTGTCAAACTCAAACCTAGGATTGTAGTTTGAACTCAACAGAGGTTATGATTATGTTTCCTCATATGCTGCTTGTACAGTTTGGTTCCTGAAAGCTGAGTGTAGCATGGTTAAAATCATCTCCTAACATTCCATCACAATTCAGCATATTTTTTTTTGGTTTTATCATTCCAGCAACACTGTTATTATCAGATGGCAACATCCCAGCTATTCCAGTGGAGGAAGACCTACATGCATTATTTCAGGCACAAACAGGCAAATGAGTAGAACTAATGACATCCTGTAAGCTAGCTTTTTCGCAAATGAGCTTTAATAAATATCTTAAATTAAACTAAATATCCACCATAATAGGTATTTGAAAAAAAACATTTAAGTATAGTGTAGTAGAGATAATATAGTATAGTACGTCACTGACCTTTCACCTTTTCATATGTTTGCTCTGACCTTTCAAGCGTGAGAATATAATTCTGCCAGAGCTGTACACACCAAGGACAATTTCTAACGCTTCTCTCGTAAACATTTGTACTAATAAGTGGCACTCTCAATGTATGATCCTGTAAAAGTTGTCATATTATTAAGTTATAACACATTGTTGAATACAATACTGAATGCTGTTGGTACAAGCTGTTAAACTTATATTGCACAAGGTACCAGCAGATTTAGGTTTTAGTAAAAAAAACAAGAACTGTCGGAGGACAGTAACGCTCGACTATTCGAAAATTTGTCACAAGGGTGTTTCATTGAGTATAAAAATGCTTACCTATATGAATACATAAAATTGTCCAAAAAGGTACAAACCCTTCAAGTTTCAATCCATTCCCTTCAGTAGTTATGGAGATACAAGCTTACACACAAAAACTTAACCAAGAATTTCTAAGTCGAAAAAGGGGCATAATTATGTAAAAAAGCAAATCAGAGTTATGGGACTTGTGCCAATCATCTTAGATAATCACAGAGAACAAGTGTGTGAAGTTTCAATCCATTCCCTTCAGTAGTTATTGAGATACCAGCTTACATGCAAAACTTAACCAAGAATTTCTAAGTCGAAAAAGGGGCATAAATTATGTAAAAAAGCAAAATCAGAGTTATGGGACTTGTGCCAATCATCTTAGATAATCACAGAGAACAAGTGTGTGAAGTTTCAATCCATTCCCTTCAGTAGTTATGGAGATACCAGCTTACATACAAAAACTTAACCAAGAATTTCTAAGTCGAAAAAGGGGCATAATTATGTAAAAAAGCAAATCAGAGTTATGGGACTTGTGCCAATCATCTTAGATAATCACAGAGAACAAGTGTGTGAAGTTTCAATCCATTCCCTTCAGTAGTTATTGAGATACCAGCTTACATACAAAAACTTAACCACAGGGACGCCGACGCCGACAAATGGGTGACTGCATTAGCTCGATTATTCTGCGAATAGTCGAGCTAAAAATGCTTATATTAAAAGATAACAAAACTTAAATCTTCATGCCAGCTTTAAAGTCACAATTATGATCTAAAAGCTTTTATTATTTGACAATTTAAGTTTACTGACCATCTGGTCATTAACATGAAAAAAATATCTTTTTGACAATTTAACTTCACTGACAATCTGGTCATTTATGTGAGAAATTTATCTTTAAAAAGTCAACAATTTAGTGTACATCAACCATACAAGATATTTAGTGTACTGTAACCAAATAGTTGAGTTGAGACAGTTTTCTTGTATAGCTCTCTCATATAGACACTGTATCCTGGCTGGATCTCCTTCTTTCTCCTCATACTTTATATAGTCCTGATATTCTTCCAGTCTCGGGGGATCTGCTGATGCCTGTAAACAATATATAACATATGAGCCGCGTCACGACAAAACCAACATAGTGCGTTTGCGACCAGCATGGATCCAGACCAGCCTGCTCATCCATGCAGTCTGATCAGGATCCATGCTGTTCGCTATCAGTTTCTCTACTTGTAATAGTAAGCGAACAGCATGGATCCTGATCAGACTGTGCGGATGCGCAGGCTGGTCTGGATCCATGCTGGTCGCAAACACACTATGTTGGTATTGTCGTGACGCGGCTCATATACCTTATTCTTCATAAATTCTTTTATATTATGTTTTTTTTACATATTTGTAGTCTTAAAGTTATCATATTACATTATATAGGGTAGAAATTATTGCTTTTAATGATTATATATGGTAGAAATTGTTTTTAATGAGTCTAAGTCAAACTACACATTTAGGGTCATGACGCCATGTTCAATCTTTCTCCTAACTGCCCCACTGCAAAAATTTTGTTCTAGAAGAAAAGTATTATTCATGTTTGTCAAGTTTCAGTATTTTATCTAACACTTACAGCAATTACAAAAGCAATATCCTTTAACTTTGTACCATTGCTAACCAATTTCTCTTAATAAACTTCTTGAATACAATAGTTGAGAACATAGTCAAATAGTAAAAACATGAAAATTACCAGTTTTGCTTCATAAGGTTTCACTTTCTCTAGTTTAATCAGGGCTTTATTATATTGTTGTTTGGTAAATTTGTCAGGATCCTCCTGTATCCAGTCTTTATACTCCTCAAATGTTTCCTCCAAATCTGTAAACACATCAAATATATACAATAGAAACCACACAAACATGCAGCTTTTACAACTACCGGTATGTAAAAATGGTACTGCACAGCCGTGCATATATTTTGACGTGACGTCATTTTCGTAATATAAACATAGCGTTAAGACGCCTTAAATGTTAGCGTTATACTAAAGGCATGTCAATGAAAAATGGGTCTTTTTCACTTCCAACAGTCTTTAGTTTTGGTATGTGTTAAATAAAATATTAAATTTGTGTTTAATACTAAATTTATTGACCTTGTTGAATAAAATAATATTATGCTCACCAGAGGTTTGAATAATATATTAAACTTGTTTAATAAATTCAGTATTAAACTTACACTCATTCAATATCCTCTGTATATTTTACCCCATTTTGCTTCTTTTACATTCAAAAGCCCCAGTATCCATGATTAATATTGCAGTCACAAACAGTTTAATTACCACACAAGCCTTACATAATTTCAATACCAATACTCAATTCCTATTTTATGAGCCTGCCATTCCCTGTACATAGTTTAATTGAATCATAAGAAGAGGATAACAAGCAATCAGTCATATTATATGTTATTTTGGTTTGGAGTGATATATGTGGATATATTACCTGTTAAGATTTTATATCACCCGAGCCGTTAGGCGAGGGTGATATTTTATCTTGGCAGGTAATATATCCACATATATCACTCCAAAACCAAAATAATAATTTTATTACCCTTCCCCTGCCGAGTTTAGACGATTTTTTAAATAATCATTGCTGTTTCAAATGAAACGTCGAAATAAGATTCCCTTTAGGATACCTCTTCGTCACAACATGACGTCACATAAATACATGACGTATTTTTCCCGTACCTTACAAAAGTAAACAAGAGAAAAGGAGTAGTCTATTGAACGCACTTTTTTGTAATTAATATCAAGCTTTCACAAGGTCATATTTGTTTTCGATACTGATGGTTATATGTATCATAACTCTACTTTGGTAAATATTTATCATTTGACAGTTAAAAAGTGCTTTTAAATCGGAATTTACACCGCGTAAAATCGAACCGTACGCGCATCATCTCCGCGCATGTTGTTTACAACGTTGGGTACCAAACGGGGAAATTTAGTGTGTATATTACCCGTCTGGCTCGGTTATATCAATTTCTTTCGGGTGATCAATATCCAATCAAAAAGGCGGAAAAAATCTGGAAGGGTAATAAAAAACTGATATAAAAATTGAACTGAGAAAAGTTCAACACTCCCAATACTAAACTGTGATAGTAAAACGAAATAACTTAAACCCTCCTTTCTGTGCTATGTAGTCAGACTTGACTAAATTTATATATCTACTTGTTGCTATGAAATACATACTCTGTAAAGGTACAGTCAGATGTCTTTTGAAAAGGGACTGAACTCTGTCATGTTGCTCAGTGAATTTATCCTCCTGCTCCTTGGTAGGTACACTGCCTGGCGCAGGCTGAAACAAACATAAAAATACTGTTTACATAAAAATTGTTGCACTGAAAAAAGCAAAAACAAACTGCAAAGAAATATATCATTTCCTGGGTAAACACAGTATATTAACAAGTCTAATTCCTGTTATTGCAAGGTTCAAGTTGAAATATATAGGCTACCAAGTAAGGGTACAGTGATTGAAAGTAACACATGCTTGTAATCGCAAGACAAGGTATACATTAAATTGTATAGGCTCACAAAACATACAGTGATTTCGTTTATATACACATTTAAACTGGTTACAAACTCATTGAATCTAATTTGCAGAAAAGTAGCGGTGTTTTAAAATGAACCAATCAAAATATTGTAAGGAGAAACTTCACTTAGTTACCAAACATCCTTTTCATTTACATTTTAGACCTTAGAATTTAACTAATTATGGTCAAAGCTTTTTATGGGCTTTGAAGTCATATGGAATCTGCCTCAGTAAGTCATATTCAGAGCAGCCTTAATAATCAAATGGACCTCAGGCTCCAGTCGGTTAAAATGTTGACTGAGGCAAAAGTTTTACAGTTGCCATAATTATGTCACATTTGAGCAGACACCATAAAATAACAAATAACTTTCCATAAGCTAAATGCAAATATCAATATCTCTAAAGTGGAGTTGTAACCTTGTGGTTAAGATGTCCGCTTCTCAACCAAGGGGTCACTGGTTCAAGCTCTACTGGAGTCACAACCAAATATACCTCACACTACATATTAAAGTACTGATTAGTTTCAGGAAACAGACTCAATGTTTCAAATAGGCTACAATCTTTCTTCAAAGTCAAACCTAAATCTAACATTTCAAGAGAAGCGTTAGAGAAATACAGAAATTCAGCTTTTAATGTTAAACAGTTATCATTTAATTTACACCTGTTATATTTCAATTATCATACCAACAAGCCAGCTAGGATAGCATTCTCAAACTCTCTGTACGCCTCCCATAGGTTGTCTCCCTTGGTTACATGAAGTCCGCAAGCTGTAAGTGCTTTATCAAACACTTCCCTGACTCTGGTTACACCATCTTCTTCTCCCATACCACCAATAGAGAACTGAACATATTCAAGCCAGAGTGGTACAGCTGTAACATATGAAAACAATTTTCCTCATACAGCTTCTATTAGATGATACTAGTACATTAAAGCTACAATCCCACATATTTTAGATCAAGCATTTTTTAAAAATAAAATGACATAAAAAATCTCAAATTTCACCACCATGTTTATGGAACTAGATGATTAATACATGTCTTCTTAGTAAAAAAAAACACATCTAAATCAAGTATTTGCATTGTTTCCTACTGTAATTTTAAACCGTTGCTGTTTTATTCTGTAAATATCGACTTAAATTATAAACCCATACATTAACTGAATGCAAGTAGGATAGAACAAATAGGTAATCTTTGTTACTTACATAGATAATCTTTGTTACTTACATAGGTAATCTTTATTATTAACATAGTTATTCTTTGTTACTTTAATACATAGTTAATCTGTATTACTTACATAGGTAATCTTTATTACTTACATAGGTAATCTTTATTACTTACATATAGGTAATCTTTGTTACATACATAGTTAATCTTTATTACTTACATAGGTAATCTTTGTTACTTACATAGTTAATCTTTATTACTTACATAGGTAATCTTTGTTACTTACATAGGTAATCTTTGTTACTTACATAGTTAATCTTTATTACTTACATAGGTAATCTTTATTACTTACATAGGTAATCTTTATTACTTATATAGGTAATCTTTATTACTTACATAGGTAATCTTTATTATTAACATAGTCAATCTTTGTTACTTACACAGTTAATCTTTATTACTTACATAGGTAATCTTTATTACTTACATAGGTAATCTTTATTATTAACATAGTTAATCTTTGTTACTTACATAGGTAATCTTTATTACTTACATAGGTAATCTTTGTTACTTACATAGTTAATCTTTATTACTTACATAGGTAATCTTTATTACTTACATAGGTAATCTTTATTACTTACACAGGTAATCTTTGACACTCTTTTCAAACAGCTTTATTACTTCTTCTCTACCAGCATCATCAGATACAAGTCCAATTTCATCTTGTAACCATTCAAGCCATAGTTCTAAAATAAACAAAATCTTATGAAATAAAGATTAATATGGTGTCCTAACATACATGTATAATAAAGAGGAAATATTGGCATTTCTTTTTATAATTACCTCAGAAATAATATATTCCACTTTATATAATTTGAAAAAAGAAAGAAATATTTTAACATCTTTACAGACAACCTTTTCCATATTTCTATAATCATTCATTAAGCTCAGGTTCCAGCACAACATAATTAGCATCATACATGTATTTTTAACTAAATGCATTACGCAGCATTAAAAACTAAAGCAGTGAAAATGGCAACAAAGAGTCATCAATTCATGCTTCACTGATCCTTGGTTTATACAAAATTTAGTTTTGTTCAATTGTGTAGGAAGGTACAACCTTTAAGACACACTTTCGAATCCATTCCTGGAAGTTGGAACCAACCAGTACTTACCAATGAGTGTAAAGATTGCTAAAGGAAACAAACGACTTGCCCCTGATGGGGTTTGAACCCATGCAGCTAGCAGTATTAGATTATTAGTGTGAGGCATAAACCCCTCAGTGAGTTGTAACTGTTCTTTTATAATTGTTTTAATGAATAAATGCTAGTAATCTCGATAACACACATTGAGTGCAGCTCTATATTGGTGCCTTAATTATGCATGTTTTTCTCACAGATAGCACTGAAAGGGTGACACTTTTCTATGAAAGATGACAAATCACAATATACAATGTGTACATGGTATTATCTATATTCATTGGTCAGCATACAAGTTAATTCACAATCACAACTGTATACCTTCAGTCAATGGAAATATATCACTCATCTTCTCTCTGGCAGCACGTAATTTATCCAGATCTCCCAGTTCTCTCAAATTCTTTATCAGCTCTATATGATTGTCATATAAATATGGATTCTCATTCAACTGTAAAACAGATAAATATACGATACTTTAATTCATTGTATTGTATTATCAAAACATGACCTATGTATAATACTACTATAAGTGTATAGTATGTTACAATGTTGTTTGTAACTAGAAATGTGTCAATAGAACTTGAATGAAACCACATTCCACTGTTTTTCCCCCAAATTAAGGGGGAAATATATACTTTTTTTGTGAGAGGAATAGTGCTGAAATTACAAAATTCATAAACTGAGGTTCCTGCAGTCTATGTACAAGCAGCATAACAGATAGATGAGGGCAAATTAATATGACCAGCTATAGAATACAGGTGTACTGGCATGCGAGCAGTACCCGTACAAAAATCGTAGTTACTCAAAAATATTTTTTTATTACGCTCACTCATAAAAAAAAATGATTGTTACACATCAATTTTCAGCTCATTACACAAATTATGGAAATTTCATTATGTTCTAAACATAGAATCAGCCTTAGTTATGAGGCCTCATATGGGGCTCCGAAATTATCCATTATTTTGTATGAAGAGCAGTAGTTCCTGTATATAAAATATAACCCATTATAATTATACAATGTTGTAATATCAGACCTATTTTACATTCTTAATTGTTAAAACGACCATCTTTCCCAGTTATAAAAACATGTTATTCAGGAAATAGATTGTAGACTAAACGCTGGTATCAATTACCGGGTACTGTTACCCCAACGCATTTGCAAGCAATTGCGTGTTTGCATGCATGATAATTTACCCCATTAAAGCCATAGAATTATTTCATCTGTAATATAGGTCAAAATTAAGATAACTTAACAGGTTTTCACCACATTGCCCACTTATCTGTATACTGGTGGTATAAGAGGAAAACCCTTTAATTAGTGTTGTCCCAATTGTCTCTGAAAATCGATAACTAATCGGACCACCCCAAAATCGGAGACAATCGATAGAGTCGATACGGCTTATATCGGACATCGTTGTTCATCGGACACATTCACTCTGACGTAATTTTTAGAAGTTTTTCTCTACATACACACTGCTCTCGATGCTTCACTGTTTTCGGGAGACATACCGTAGAAAATACAAATCGAACTCGCCTTAAATTTTGTATCGGGTTTTTGATTGGTCAAAATAACGACTCTCTTTTATTCTACTTTCATTTTGACGTCACAGAAAATATCAGAGAAATTAAGAAATTCGGTATCTTTTTTTTTTTTTTTTTTTTTTTTTTTTTTTTTCAGTTTTATTTATTTGCATAATCAGGCCTCCGGCCCATACACATACATATATACAACCTTATAATTTACATCTAATTATGAAGCATGAAGTCGAGGATTAACAATGACAAATTTTCAGTTTATAATACCAATCTAACATAATATATATTGATATAAAAAACACATAAATTCCTCTCAATAGGCTTACAATATCATCTGTTATTTAATAATGCTTGATACTTAAACAGAATCGAACTTTGCTTATAATGTATAATATCTAATGAACATTTGTACGCCTCCATAGAATATAAGAAATACATAACCTGCAATGAGAGAGCATGATAAACCAAATGGAAAATCAAAACACTGACAGAAAGTCTTCTCTTTTTTTAAAAGAGTAATTAATAAACATGGCTAAATTTCTTATAACATTTGTACTGTCACATGACATCAGCCTGTAATATGTATCCAAAGTAGGATTATTAATAAACATTGATGGTATGATTTTTCCCCTGATTTCAGAATAAAGAGGACATATAAGAACAAAATGAAACTCATCCTCGATAACGGTTTCACAATAAGGACAGAAACGGAAGTCTCTTGGAATATTCTTATGTCTACCCTGTTCAATCATTAAATTATGACATGAACTACGAAATTTAGCCATACTAGATCTAAACTTTTCAACATCAAGTATTGCAATATATTTTTTCTAGATTATAATTTTGTTTAAAATGTATATAACTATATAATTTACTACTAGATCGGCACCGAGCAGTCCAATTTTGAATATACTGATCTTTCAACCTTTGTACATATTGCTTTTCAAAAAGTTTTTTGTTTATTACTTTTTGTTGTTCCCATGCATATCCAAACCCATTTGAATAAAGATTGTTTTTTACATCTGTTGCCCAATTTGTGTGCCCTACACTATCATAATGAACAAGCATTTCATAGCATAGTTTTACATACCTATTTCTTGGTAAATCAAGCAAACGTAACCAATACTTAATACATCGTTTTGCTGAATAAAATATGCATTGGGAATCTGCCTAAATCACCTAATATTGCATCATTACATGCATTTGTTTGTACTTTTAAGACTCTTTTACAGGCATAATTTTGTACAATTTCTATACACTGTGGTTGTTTCATTCCCCATAATTCTGCCCCATATAGCAGCACAGATGAAACCTTAGAGTCAAATATTTTGAAAAATGTATTTGTAGATAGACATGAAAAAACTTTGAAATGAACTAAATATATACATAAGGACTTTTTTGGCCTTAACTGACATAGCTTCAGCCATCTTAAACAAAGATAGCCTATTTGTAAAATAAATTCCAACATAATTAAAGCCATTAACTATCTCTAAATTATTGTTTGCATATGACCATCTCTCTCTTCTTGCCACACATCCACCCTTTTGAATACAAGAACTTTGTTTTTGATATATTAACAACTAACTTGCTTTCAATGCAAAATTCATGTAATAAAAATTTAATTGTCTTTGAAGACCTACAATAGTGTCCGAAAGGAGAGCGATGTCATCTGCAAACATTAGAAGAAATATTTCCATAGTATTTGGAAACAGTTGCAAACCTTTTACATTGTTATTACATAAAAGTGTATACAATTCATTGATAAACATGTCAAAAAGAATCGGACTTAAATTACAGCCTTGCCTTAATCCTATAGGACAGGAGAATACATCAGTACAACCATCATTAGTTCTAACACATGCTTTTACAGAGGTGTAAATAGCCTTTTATTGACTTATATAAATGACCTTTAACTCCATGATCCCTTAAAATATCAAATAACTTCCAACGATCCACAGAATCAAAGGCCTTTTGAAAATCAACAAAAGCAACATATACAGTTCTGCCCTTCATATTTAGATACTTATTTACAACTGAATATAAAACGAAAGCATTATCTATTGTTGAATAGCCAGCGCGAAAGCCTGCCTGAGATTCAGTTATTTTATTGAAAGCTTCTACATAAAAAGTAATACGCTTAGTAATAATTGAAATATATATTTTACTAAATACATCTAGCAAGGCTATACCTCTATAATTATTTGGGTCATTTAAACTTCCTTTCTTATGTATTGGAATAATTATAGATTTGGCCCATAAATCTGGAAATTCACCTTTTGAGAACAATCTGTTAAACAACTTATATATAAATGGTAGTAAAACATTTAAACCATAAACAAAGTGTTGTGGAACAAGAGTGCCACCTGTTGCTTTATGTAAATTTAAAGCTTTTACGCTTTCAATGATTTCATCATATGTAATACAGGAGTTAAAAATAATATTTTCAATTTCATCAAAATTTTCATTTATGACAGTATCACTTCCTGGACTAATTTCACTGGAACTGGAAGAAGAGAACAATTGGTTAAAATGCTCATACCAGTCATGTAATGATACATTTGGAACTGATTTCGGCCTTTTAGACAAATTTTGCAACTCCCGCCAGAAGATTTTTGGATTATTAATTGAATTTTCCATTTTTGTCAAAATATTTTTATTATAACACAATCTTTTGTTTTTACATAATGATTTGTAGTTCTGTTTACTAAGTAGATAATTGTTTAAGCTGTTAGCACATCGTTTTAATCTGAAATCATTCAATTTCTTTCTACAATATTTCTTGGCCTCTTTACAGTCTTGATCAAACCACTTTTTATCTTTATTAGCAAATTTCCTTTTAATATTATAAAATGATTGACTACTAAGACAAATTGCATTTTGTAATTCAAATAAAATATCATTTACATTAGACTCTTTATCATCTATCAATTTATCAGCTGTATCAAGGCACCCGTTTAATACATTTTCAGTTATACACTGCAAATATTCATTACAGTTGTTTTCATTTAGTGAATAATAATAATGAATATAATCATTTCCTTCTTTATCATTTGATATATAATTATCTGTCAGTAGCCAAAGGCTTAACGGTAAATGACTACTTTCTACATTTGTCAAAATTTCAAATTTCTGTACCTTTTCTAAAATATTTTTAGAGACAATAAAATAATCAATTGTGCTACACCCATTTTGATTGACAAATGTGAAATCATCACCCCCAAATCGCCCATTTACAATATAGCATGAATATACTTTGCAAAATTCAATCAACTCTTTTCAAAATCTATTAATTTTTGTGTCTTGAGAAAGCCTTTGCATGCCAATGTCACCATCAATGATATCATTATATTCATTCAATTCTGGAATATTTGTATCCCCTAATGTATAATCAGCTATACAGCCTGTTCTGGCATTAAAATCTCCATTTATCAGTAACTCATAGTCTAAATAATGATATGTTACTATAAATTCTTCAAGTTGTTGCAAACCAGAGCTAAATATACCAGAATAAAAAGGTGAATTCTCTGGGGGAACATACATACATACATATAAAACATCTTTACTAAGAGAAAAAAGAGACTTTTCAATCAATAGCACCACACCAAACTCAAAAAGTTCACATACACGTTTTATATAAGGTAATAAGTCATTTTTGATGAATACTGAAACACCGCCCATAGGTCTTCCTCCAGCACTTGATCTTTTTGCATTGCAACAAAATAAGGTATAGTCTTGAAATTCAGTTTGTTGATAGTCAGAATCTTGGTCCCATGTTTCTTGTAGTCCAAAAATATCAAAAGATGATAACATATCTTTTATTGTATAGTTTACACATTTTAGATTTAAAACTTTCTATGTTCCATGTTAGTAATTTAAGTGATTTACATGAATGTGCTGGGCTTTGACCTCCATCCTATCTCCTACTAAGATTAGGATCATTGC